CTCCCTTTTATTTCTCACCAGCCATATCAACTACAAAAGTCGTTAAAAAAAAATTGGAGTCTATTTTCATTCCTTTTCAAAAAAAAAAAAAAAAACTATAGTAAGAGAGAATGAATGGAGCAACTAGGGTGGTAATTGAATGGAGCATGTAGGGCAATTGAGTTATTTTACTAGTTTAAGTGGGCCTCGAAAAAAAAAAAAAAAGGAGTCTATTTTCATTCCTTTTCAAAAAAAAAGAAAAAGAAAAAAAAAGAGACTTTAGTAAGAGAGAATGAATGGAGCAACTAGGGTGGTAATTGAATGGAGCATGTAGGGCAATTGAGTTATTTTACTAGTTTAAGTGGGCCTCGAAGTCTTGAACTCAAACTTGATTTTATGATTGGAAATACTTTCGAGTTTGGGTAATATTATGTTTAGCTTGAAAATAATAGAGAGAAATATTTTTTTATCAACCAAATTTTAATATTTAAAAATAGTATAATTTAATTAATTAAAAAAGTCCCTCTCCCTCCTCTTTTTCCTTTCCCACCTTTTCATTTCTCTCAGCCCCTGCATACTGTAAATTTAAAAGCTTGTAATCTATCCAAACTTAAATTTAATTAAAAAAATTAATTATACATTTAGATATAGTATTTATTAGTCAATCATGTTATTCAGTAAAACACCATAATAAAAAACTAAACAGTCTCACTTATAAAGAACTTATTAATAAAACAATATACTTTTAAAATATTTTTATACTTAATTTTTTACAAATATATCTAACAAACACTTTTCCCATAAATTTATCTATATAAATTATTATTAATCTAAAATTATTTTGTAAAGTTTTGAGCTCACATTCCAAATACTAAACAACTCACATCAATTGATGGCCGAAAAAAGAAAACTACTTGACTCCATCTACAGTTACAGGTGAACAAAATAAGTACAGTTTTAAGTAAATACATTGAGAACAAAGAGGTAGCAGGCTGCAGAAGTAGGTCCAAAGGAAAAATGGAAGGCCCAGAAGAAAAGGGCCTTAATATCTTCATGGGCAGCCCATATTGAGGAAAGAAATATAAAAAAATCTCTGCCCGAGAAAGGAAAAATCTTGCCGTCTTCTGTTTAGGGTTTTACGAAGGGTCTATTTATTTCTCCCCTCAGCGATATTATTATTCTCTCTCTGGGTTCTGTTCAGGTCGTCGGAGAGAATCAGTTCGCCGGTAAGGAGGATATTACTCTGATGGTTTATTTATAGGTTTCTTCCTTCATGTGATCTTTTTTGCTTTTGTAACTAATCGTTTCCGCTGTAAATAATCTTTCTTGCTCTTCTGTTTGTCCATGGGGATTTAAGAATTTTGATCTAGTATATGTTGCTTTGCATATGCTTTACAGAATTGGTTGAAGTATCTCCCTTTTCATTTTTGTCTGGATTTTGGGTTTAGGGTAGGTGTTGTAATGGCTTTCTTTAGTAAAGTTGGGAGTATACTTCGACAAACTGCTAGCAAGCAGATAATCAATGCTGAATGGTCTACTTCGACACCAAAAGCTTCCATCTTTCAAGCTATACGATGCTTTTCATCGATGTCATCTTCAAAACTTTTTATTGGAGGTCAATTCCCATCTACCCTTTTGACTTGTATTGTTGAAGAGTTTACTGCCTTTGGTGTTGTTTTGAGATTGCTCTTGCTTGTATTGCAGGCCTTTCATATAGTACAGATGATTATCAACTGAGGGAAGCTTTTAGCAAATATGGTGAAGTGATGGATGGTATGGTATATTCATTACATGCGTGTGTTATATCTGTGAGATTGAATTCCTAGGGTGCTTAGAAAGATGGGCCATCCACATTGCTTAATATGTGCCTTTAAACGGAATTTATGAATTGAAGATGTTTTGGATTGATTTGATACTAGAAGTCATTTGAACATGGTAAACACTTCCAAGTTATATTGCTAAGTATGCATTTATATGTGTGCTTCTAGGGTGAATAAAAGTCTGTGGCAATCCATTCCTGTGCTTTTTAAAAGAAAATCATTTTCTGAATTGTGACTTGGGTTGTTATGCCTGTAATCATTTTAGTAGTGATAATATGTGCTGACTGAGTTGATGTATACTGCAGCAAGAGTAATTGTGGATCGAGAAACTGGTAGGTCTAGGGGATTTGGTTTTATTACTTTCTCTAGCAATGAGGAGGCCTCTTCCGCTATACAGGCTTTGGATGGCCAGGTAAAATTTATTTTTATTTCAATTTTAATATGATAGCTGCTAATTTGGTGTTGGTGGTCTGTCTATTTGTATATGGTTACTGACTTTACATTACACCTGCATCTCTGTATATTTTATGGTAAAGTTTGCTGATCATACCTTAGTGTTTGTCCAAGGGAAGAAGAAAATGGAGATACATGGCTATATCCATGATGTTTTCACTTTGTTCAATTATAAAAATTAAAATACTACATATATATAGGAGATAGGATCCGCTTACATATTTTTAAGACTTCTAAAATCATATTATCTATCAGCTTTTGATTTCACAAATTCAACAGCTAAGGTAATGGTGATGTGTTAGATAATATATAAGTAAGCTATATATTTATCAACTTACCAAATATAGCACCATCAGCTATATATAAGTAAGCTAAGTCCTTAGATTTTTATTTAAGATATAAGTAATTGGATCCTGACTCATTATCCAATTTCCTTGTTTCTCCTTTTATTTTTCGCATTCATGTGTTCCTTGTTTGCTGTTCCTAGAACTTGAATGAATTAGTCTGTCCTCTTTCTCAAAGAAATTGAATTTTGTAAATTGGAATGTTTCTAAATACCTCCCTTGCCTTTGGAGGTTCAGCTGGAAAATCATGTTACCTTGCTTAAAAATGTTTATATGTCCATCCCACTGTCAAAACAACCTATATTTTGGTAATCAACGTAAGAAGTCCTAGTAATGAATTAGTAAAGTTATAGGATTTCAAGTTAGAACTTGGAATTTTAATCAAGTTACCTTTTCATCTAGGTTTGTTGATTTCTTTGAACTATAAAACCATGCTTTTTACTTGTTGAAATATATTTTGAGCTTTCACTAACATAAGTTCTTTTTGTTATCAAGTATAATCAAGTAAAATGGTTTTTACATTCTCTGTTTTATTCATAGCCCCTTAAGGCCTAATGGTACCTGAGCTTTGGTTGGTAATTGTTAAGCTCAATTTTTTTCTTTCAGGTTCTTCATGGCCGTAATATAAGGGTGAACTATGCGAATGAGAGACCCCCTCGTAACTTTGGAGGTGGAGGCTATAATCCCGGATATGGTGCTCCTGCTGGAGGCTATGGGAGTAATTATGGAGGTAACTTTGGCGGTGGAAATTATGGTCCTCCAAGTGGAAGCTATGGAGGCAATGCTGGTTATGGTGCCAATACCTTTGGAAGCCAAGGAAATGCTTATGGTGATGTTGCTGGTGGTGTCAGCAATAACTATGCAGGCACTGGCGAAGGCAGTGGACTTGGAGGTGCTGATTTTGGGTTTGGCAAGGATAATCAATTTGACAGCACTGGAAACGTGGAGAATGCAGATGCAGCTGGAGGTTATGGCCAAAATGATGCAGTAGATGGAAATTTCCGAGATGAAGATGATGATGATCTCATGAAGAGAGCATGAGACTTGTTATGTTCCATATTGTAAGAAGACCTGCCCCCTTGGTACTCACATTTTCAGCTAGCCCCTGTGCTGCTTTCTTAATCTGAACTATTCATCTGCATTTATGGTTTTAGAGAATAAAAAGTACATAATCATGACTTCTATGCTGAGCCAACTCCTTAGGCATTTCCAGATTTCCTATCTTGTAATTATGCAGTATTGGAAATTTTTTGGTTGGCGGGTTCATTTTTTCTTGCTACTAGTTTGTCATTACTGCTCAAGCTCAGGAGTTTCTTCTTTTGAACGGCCAAATGTGTAAATTGCATTTTAAAAACTGTTAAAGTAAATCATTACATAAAAAAAAAAAATTGTTGGGTGTAATTTGTTATTTTAAATTCTTTTTTAAGAAATTAATCTAAATTTAATAATTGTTCTTAAATTCTGTAACTTTTGAAGTGTAATGGAAAAATAACGGTGATTGTTAAATTTTTATTAATTGTTTTAAAATATAAATTTACAGTAACAAATTATGTGAATAAATTTTGTTTAACAATAATTCAAGGGGAATTTGTACCATTTGTCTCTTTCTGACTTATAAGGAATCTTGTGGAAGGTGATAATTTCAAGCCCGCGTGGGAGAGACTCGTGAATAGCAAAAGGTGGTCCACTTTGCAAGGGAAATATCGAATATGACCCAGTTACTGACTGCCAAAGAGCCCACTCACATGTTAACAGTACTAAGAAATGTGCCCCACGTTCTGTCTCGTACTTTTTCTTTCTGCTTAGCCCATCGGGCCGAACAAGTCCTTTTCCATTTTCACAAGATTGAGGCCATGTGTTATTAGATATTAAGTCGACTTGAAAAACATTTTTTTTATATTAAACATTTGATATTGCTGTAGGAAAATTTAAATCCACATTTTAAGATGAAAACATGCACCCTACCTAAATGCAAAAACTCTAGTCAAACAATGGCTTGCTTTGGTTGTAGTCTTATGAAATTGTTGCCACTTAGGAGGTGTTTGGCACAGCCCGGGGGGTTGTGAGACCTTAAAGTTTTCGGCAAAAACCCTTACT